AAAAAAAAAAAAAAAAAAAAAAAAAAAAAAAAAAAAAAAAAAAACTGATGGGGGTTTTAAAGGGTGTTTGGGATTTGCTTATTTAACTCCAGAAGTGCTTTTGGGCAAATGTGCTTATTATTTTATGGTGGTAGAAAAATTAGTTTTTAAAAAAGTGTTTGGATTAGCTTTTGTGGTGGCAAAAGCCAATAAGTTAATAAGTTGTTTTTTAAAAAGTGTTTGGATTAGCTTATACATGTAAAATGACCAAAAAGGGCATGCTCACATACTTAGAACCATTTACTACTTTTACATATAATGTTTTATACTTAATAAATTTTTTGGACAAAATTCATAATCTTAAATATTTTTTTTTACAACTACTCGAAGCTCAATGCTTATAATCATTTTTGCCTAGCATTTCGAGAAATCCATGTTTTTTTTTGCTTAACCTATTAAATCATACATTCTAAGTTAAGTAAGAAAGAAACAATATATATAGTTGTCTAGATTAAGTGCTTTACCCATTAGGAAGTGCTTTACCCATTAGGCTATATTGATAACTAACATATAGTCAAACTATTAAAAAGCTGAATTCAAACGTAGAAGACAAATTTAAAGTAGATCTAAAGCTTTTGTTTAAAAAAGGAAACAGAATTTAATCAAGTTCTACATAAATTCAAAGAAAGCAAAGAAAAACACAGAGCTAAAATTAGGACAAAATCACATCTGTGAGATTTTGATGCAATCACTACCTAAAAAACAACAAATATAAAATACTAACTATGGTTCAACAAACAACATATAACTAACTGCACATAGTTCATCAACAAAGCATTTGAAAGGTGGAATGATGGTATAAACCGACATCACCTGGTATAGTATTGACCCTTTTTTGAACTTGAGATTGACCAGGCATTTTATGCAGTTCAAACATGAACACCATCTTCCCTTCTGAACTTCTTTTCTGTGTACAATGCTTCACAGTATACAACCCATCATACCCAAACACATCATAATTGTTCTTCTTTCCAACCCAACAAGTTTCCTAATCACCCTAACAGGACTTTTCTCAGTCATACTGTTCTTCAAAGCAAGATTACCCCTTTCAAGTTTTTGATCATCTGCTTAATCGATTACAAAAAGATTCATGTGCTTAAAATTCATGTGCTTTATCGATTCTAAAAAAAGTCATCAGCTTAAACCGAACCAGAAAAAAAATCGGGATTCCAAATCATAAATTGGGAACCATATACCAGAAATCAGACAAGAAATTGAGCTCTAGATTGAAAACCGAACAAGTAAATCATGTGCTTCATCGATTCCAGAAATCAAAATTCATATATCGATCCAGGAGGTATAACTGGATAAAGAAAGTGGGACTTACCAGATCGGAGAAGGAGCAGTAGCCAGCGCCGTCGATCAGAGGTCTGGTGCGGAGATCGGAGAAGGGTCGCCGGAGTGGGAGATCGGAGAAAGGTCGCAGTGATGAACGTTGTGAAGGGGAGTGTGAAGTGAACGACCATCTGGGGAATGAATTACGACGTGAACTTGGTGAGTATCGGGGGAGAACGGGGGCATATAGGTAATTTTAATTTTAAAAAACCAAAAATATTCAAAAAGGGAGGCCTTGGTAATTTTAACTTTAAAAAACCAAAAATATTCAAAAAGGGAGGCCTTAGTAATTTTAACTTTAAAAACCAAAATTATTCAAAAAGTAAGGTCTTCCTTACTTTTTAAATGTTGTTTCAAAAAGTTATTTTAAAAGGTTTTTAAACGCATATTAACGTTATAAAAGTCCTTAAATTTGTAAATTTTTATTGGTTTTATCCTAAATCATTAACATTTGCTATACGATTTGATATGTCTTGCAACTCAACACTTAACATAACCATATCAACTAACCTTGTATGCTTATAAAATTAACACTAACATTTGCAACTAATCTTACATGCTTATAAAGTTAACGGTAACAGTTGCAATGTGAAAAACAATGTTTGATTTTGTTCTTCAAATCAAAGCCTACGTGAAGGAAGGTGGGCACCTTTGTCTCTACTCTCGATTTTGTCTGCCGTTGTGTTTCGAAAAGAGGGAAGAAGGTGTTTGATCTCTATTTTGATAGGGTACCGGGATACACGCGTGCGCTTTGAGTCTTGAAGCTTGAATTGACGACGAAGACGAAGTGAGTTCACTAAAGACGACAATTGCTTTCACTAACTTGCATCGAGATTTCCCATATTGGGGTACAAACAGACAAGGTGTTGGGGCACAAACGCACGCAACAGACAAATGCACGCTTTGAGTCTTGAAGCTTAAATTGACGACGAAGACGGAATGAGTTCACTGAAGACGATGATTGCTTTCACTAGCCTGCATCGAGATTCCCCATATTGATTCGGGTAAATTTCGACTTTTACTGATCAACAATTAGCAAACATTACGGGATTTAGCTTCAGATTCGCTACTTATAATTATGATTCTATGAGCTTCTGTAAACCTCTACAATTCTTCATCTTCTTGGTCTTTGGAAATGGAGTTGAACCATGTGAGCGGAGAAGTTAAAACTTGTCAACTTAAATTGGGTTATTGATGAATGACAATGAAGACTATAATTTGAAATTAGGGTTTGAAGATTTTACATTTGGGTTAATTTTTCAAGCTTTATTTGTGCAAATCAAACACTTTTTTTTGTCCGTCAGGTGTTCAATAAAACGTCTAAATGAAGTTTTCTAGTGTTGCAACCATTTCCAGACTCAAGAAGATGTGGAGTCTCTTCCTGATGTTGTTTTTCATTGTGCACTCCAACCTTTTGTTGGAGTGTCATATTTTACTTTGGATTTCTGCTTCTCATTCTGAGCCTCTCCTAGAGGATTTAATAAGATTTGTTTGTGTGTTTATGGCGTCTTCTCATACATTTACGAGCAAATCTTGGTCATGTCCCTTTCGGGGGTTTCATTGTTGCTCGAATGGTGAAGTAGGAGGTAAGGGGATTTCTCGTATGATTTCTCATCTCAAGAGCTTACACCTCCCTACGGATGAGCGTAGAACTGTGTTACGATAGGTTATTTCTTTAGACAATGGATTGTTTATGTCAGTAGCAGCAAAATTGAATGAGTTTGGTCAATGGATATGTGGGGATTGTATGAGTATACATGCCCTGAGCCGCTCGTGTCGCCACTAAGATAGTATTGTTAAATTTAATGGTGGGATTGATGACATGAGCGGACATATTGTTGGTATTCAAAAGTCATCACCCAATGAACTGGAGGCCGACCTTAATGAGGGGTTGGTGATGGATGCTCAACTCCTTGATTGTGTGTTTAAGGTGCCTATCACCACGGTCAAAAGCATCCCTTATAAATGTCGAATGGCTTTCTCTTAGGCTTTGAAAGTAGCCCTTTTTAAGGTGGCTGCTCATCCCAGGTCCGTTGAAGTGTGGGTTGCATTGTTAATTCTTCCTAGGTGTACTCTTGTCACAACTAGCATTTTAGCTAGGAAATTCTATTCTCATGTAAACATTCATCTAGTGTAATGACTTGTACTCTAAATGAATATCATACTTAATGCTCACTCAATATATCTCTTATAGTCAATTATGTTTTGAAAACCCTAGAAATTCCAGTTCAAGTTTATTATGAACTAGGATTCTCTTATTGGACCTAACGGACCAATAAACCTTCAACTTGACTATATTGGGCCTAGGAACCCTAAATGGGCTCTATTTGGACACACATTCATAAAACATAACATTTTGGGCCGTATGGGCCTAAAATGGATTGGTTTATCTCTAATGGGCCAAGTTTGGGCCACAACAAATTCCAATAGCCCTAATGGGCCATAAAATCCATTTCTCTTATTCAAATGGGCCGTGAACTCTCCTAAGGGCTCAATGGGTCGAAAAATAATTATTTGGGCCTCATGATTTCGAGCAAAGACAAGTAATGGCCCAAATTAATCCACTTCCTTTCTCCTAGCCCAAATTTTCGGCCCATGTGTAAAAAAAAAATAATGGAAGGAGGATGAATTAATATGATGACGACACATAATTGTCTAGCAAATATCTAGATAATCACATGTATCAAGAAGTTCATTACCCACCATGAAAAATCTTTTCTCCCCTCTCCTTATTACTCTCGACCGAACCTTCCACCATACCACCTCCATAATTTTCTTTTAAACACTCTCAAGAACATCTCCTTCTTCCATCAAAAATCTCGAGATTTGTGGGTGCTTTCAAGAGGATTCTTCACCAATATCATCATCCTTGGTAAGTTTTGGCTTAGATCCATGGTTTAGTTTCTTGATTTCTCCAAAAATCCCCTCTTAACTCATGTCATTTCATGATCTATGCTTCATAGAGTCCAAAAATCATTCCAAGAAGCTTGCTAGGGCCGAGAATCACATCATCTTCTTCCATTTCTTCTTCAAACCGAGAACAACAAAGCAAAGTGAGTTCATACCCCCAATTTCCAGTTTTTACTAAGTTTTGGGGGAGAATACAAGTTGTTTTGTGTAGATCTATGTGTATATGCATGAATATGTGTGTTTTTCATGATTTATTTGGTGATTATGTGTTATTTACTTCATAAATCTAAAAATATGTTAAGAATATGAAGTTTATCACTTGGATCTACATGAAAACCTTGAGAAAAGTATGTGTTATCACATATAATACATGTAAACTTGTAGATCTGGGATTTATACACCTAAAATAGCAAAAACAAGTGTTGTGTACAAACATGGATAACTTAAACTCAAAAATCAGGCTTTGACAGAAAAGTTTTGGTCCAATCTCGAACTGTTTTGACCACCTTAATGGTAAT